TCAAAAGCAAATCGGATGCTTATCTTGCTGGGATCCTATGACCCCAGCTGACTTTCTGCCCTTTGGGTGGGGGGCTGGACTCGATGATCTTCCGAGGTCCCTTCCAGCCCTAATATCTATGAAATCTATGAAACCTATGAAACTTCAGTGTAAGAAGGAAATTCTCTGGGGGGCAAGCAGGCAGCCACTGCCCACTTTGCCAAACCTGCCAGGCCTCTTAACTAGCAGCCTAATCGTGGCTGATGAACCATTTGACCACTGTTAGGGCCTCCTGATTGGTTGCTGGAGAGAGCAGCCTTTCCATGTAAGTCTAGCTGTGTAACAGATTGCAGCCAATGCTGTGGTAAGCCACTCTGGATGTCACGCTCTGTTTTGGTAATTTAGCCCCACATTCAGCTGGTGACTTGGACTCTGCTATTGGAATTTCCCCTCATGTCTGGTAACTTGGACTCAAGCTTCTGCTGCCTAGTGTGGCTCTGGGTCCCCCAGCACCTGTTTCTAGCCCTCCCCTGTTGGCTTACTCATTAGGCCAGAGTGCCTATGACCCGGTCCTTCCAGGCAGTCTCATGGGTAGAACACCTAGCTAGATGCATCTAGTTAATCCCATATATATCATCAAGACTATATATGTAAAACTGAACAACATGGAGCTATCACTGCTGTGGTGGAGAATTCCCCATTTATCTAACTGGTCCTCCTTTCTGTTGCAGACATAGGAAGCCATTTTCTCAAGACCTTTCCAGAAAGGAAAGAGGGTAGAGCAGGGGTTCCCAACCCCTGAGCTGTGGTCCAGTGCCAGGCCGAGGGAGGGCTGGCTGCTGGACCAGAAGTGACTGTGGACTGGCAAACTGTGAACTGGAAGTGACTGGCATACTGTGGACCAGCAGCCAACTTTTTTATACTGAGCATAAACAGTATTTTTATACTGTACAGTATTTTAAACAGTATTTTTATAACAGTTTTTTCGACTGAGTATAAAAAAAAAAGGATTGGCTGCCTGCCCACAGTATGCCAGTCACTGCTGGTCTGTTGCTTGCCAGTCCACAGTCACTTCCAGTCCGCGGCTTGCCAGTCCATGGTCTCTTCTGGTCTGCTGGTCCTTAGCCTAAAAAAGTTGGGAACCCCTGTAAAGGATGGTGTTTCAGTAGTTGGGAACGTACTGTATTTACTTGAATATAAGACAAGTTTCCCCCCCTCCCCCCACTGCACATCCAGCCAGCTGGCAGCGCCTATGCGGCCCACAGAGGGGAGCCACTACCCTCAGCCCCACCCTCCAGCCTTGCTCCTGGGAGGCGGCAGCACAGGGTGGTGCCTGGCGGCGCTCTGTCCCTGTCTGCCCACGTGTAGCCCCTAGCACCTTTCTGAGTATCCCTGGGGGTATGTGTACTCCCAGTTGACAGCCCTGGGTTAGTGAATAGAGAGCTGGATTGCAATTCAGGAGCCTGCTGCTGGCCGGCTGGGTAGTCTTGGGCAGGTTGCTGTACCCTTCTGCACTCAGTTTCCCTATCTGTAAAATATTCTCTTTACCTGCTTTTGTTACAGCACTTAGTTTACTGATAAAAGAATTTCTGTTGCACAGAAGTTTTGGTTATGTGACTAATATTTTAATGGTACAGCTGATGTATAGCATAGAGATTTCACAGTCCTGCATTGTTCTTTATATTAGGGAGTTACACTATTTGAATTAAAATATTGTTGTCTCAGCTTACCTGTCTCAGACATTCTTTCTATGTTATCTTTTGCTGTATGCTGAATGTAAATGATTTTGCCTAAAACCTACATATACAGCAGGGTAATGTTAATGGTTTCCATTGCAGATGTTCCTGTTCTTTGGTGAACTTGGACTGGTGACGTGCTCTGCTGATCATCTGATTATTTTGTGGAAAGATGGAGAGAGAGAGTCTCAGCTGCGCAGTCTGACATTATTTCAGAAACTAGAGCAAAATGGTGATTTGCAACTTAGGTTCTAAGTTGATTGGTAAGGGCTAAGCCTTGCATGCACTGGGTGTGTATTAAGTATGAATGTAAAAGGACATTTGAACTATTTAACAAATCGTAAATGCTGAGAAATAACTGTATAATAGGACTTACCTTTGAAATGCCAGACAATAAAATAAGTATTTTTTCCATTTCTAGTATTAATTACTGTTGTGCTAAACAGACAAATGTGATTTTTTTTTCACATTTGAAACGATAGTATCCTAGCATCAGCAAACATGGCAGGTATGCTTGTTCTCTAAATGACTTCTTATTGTGTCCCTGTTGTAAACAAGATGTTTTTCCAGAATTGTGCACAAGCAGTAGCTCTTTCCATTGCTGCAGCGCAAGGTCCTCCTTTGTACAGATCTCACCAAACAGTCAGCAAATGAGCGTACTCTGTAGTCTGCACTTAGAATTATAGAAAATGAGGGTTGGAAGGGACCTCGGGGGGTCACCTAGTCCAACCCCCTGCTCAAAGCAGGATCATCCCTAATTAGATCTTCCCAGCCAAGGATTTGTCTATCCAGGTCTTAAAAACCTCCAACCTTCCACTACCTCTGTGGGTAACCTGTTCCAATGCTTTACTACCCTTATAGTGAGAGTTTTTCCTAATATCTAACCTAAACTTCTGTTGCTTAACTGTCACAGTCAGGGCGGCTAGGTTCTGGAACCAACTTTCAAGGGAAGTGGTGCTCGCTCCTACCCTGGGGGTCTTCAAAAGGAGGCTAGATAGACACCTAGCCGGGGTCATTTGACCCCAGCATTCTTTCCTGCCCATGGCAGGAGGTCGGACTTGATGATCTGCTCAGGTCCCTTCCAACCCTACCAACTGAAACTATGAAACCACACTTGCATAAATTTCACTGCACTTGCATATGTGTGTCATTAGTGGAGCCCCATTTGGTCATGTTTGTTTTTGATCTTCCAGTTTGCACATGCAGGCGATTCAGGTATTGCCGTTTTGGCCCATCTGGATCTGCCCCTCTTGGAAGATCTTCCTGGAGTTCCAGGTCCATTTCAAAGCATCTGATTGCATGTAATCTTTCTTTCCATAACCTTAGTCGTGCCTGTCAGCTGTCATTTCCAACAGTGCAACACTAATCATAAAATTATTTTTTATTTGAAGCCATTTAGTTACTTCTCTGTGACCATAGTGTGGATGACTAAGGTCTTCTGTCTGCCATTATCTTTCTTTTTGGCTTGCTACCTTTCTTCTGATCTCAGGTGGTGCAGTGCCAGCCAGTAAGCACAGGGTATCCTTTGGTGTTGTCTTTAAACTTCCTGTTATTTCATGACAGCTGTCATTTAGAACTGAGTCTGTTTTCTTGGCATGAATTGATTGCTCCCATACTGGACATGCATACCTTGCAGTGGAGTAACACAAGGCAGTAGCAGTGATTCGTAATGTAATTTGTTTGCTCCCCACTTTGAGGTGACCAACTTTCAAAGTATGTTGTTACAGGCGCGGATTTTCCCTTTGTCTTCTCTACATATACTTTGAAGGTAAGTGTTCAGTCCAGTGTAACCCTGAAGTGCATAGGGTTCGGGTAATTAGTCAGTGGGATTCAATCCCAGGTAATGTTTAATTTCTACTTGGCTTCTCTATGGCATAGGTGAAAAGCTGTGACCTCCGTCGTGGTTGGGTTGGCATGAAGCTGGTTCTTGTAGTAATCTGAGGGTTGCTCAGTGCACAAATCACTTTGTTCTCAACAGTGGTGAAATCCTTCTCTTGCTATGTGATGCATAGATCATCCGCGTATATGAAGGACCTTGTATTACTTTGTATGGGTTGGTCATTGGTATATGTGTTAATAAGGATCAATCCTAGCGTGCTCCCCTGTGGGAGGCCATTTTTTTCTGGTCTCTAGTGGCTCTGTTTCTTGCATAGTGCTATGTAAAAACACGTTTTCCAAAAGAGATCAGATGAGCTGCACTAGGTTGTAGTCTTGCATCACCATATTGTAGACTTTGGCTAGCAGGTTTTGATGGCATTTGATAACTGTGTTGTATACTGCTGATCGGTCTACAGACACAGCACCTGTTATCATCCCTTTCTTAAATCCGTCTTCCGTGTGCTGTGTGATGTTTAGTATTTGGCCAGTGCAGGACTGGTCTAAATCCGTCTTGTTCTGAAATTAGATGTTGTTCAGTATGAAGTGACAGGCGACTGAGAATAAGGCGTCTGTAAAGCTTATAAAGGTAACACAGAAGTGACACTGGCTTAAAATTCTCTGGGCCAGAGGCTTCCTTCCCTAGCTTTAATAGATCTATTACATGGGCTTGTTGCCATAATTTAGCTGTTCTAAGGGAGATGAACCATTGTTAAAAAGGCATAATACCCATAACTTGGTTGTGAACAGCTATAGCATAAGCGTTCACAACAAGCCTGTCAGATTTCAATGAATCTGCGAATTGTGTTAAAACCTTGGCATCAACAATCTAAACTGCTGAAAATAATCTTTCAATTAGAATTGTTTTAGTACTAGTCATTATATTCTTTTAAAGAAATGATATGTCTGAAGGTCAGAATTAGGCAGAAATCCTTGGATGGAGCTGTTTAGTGTTTGGGTTTTTTTGTCCTTCTGGTAATCCTTCTGTAACACTTCTACATCAACCAAATGCATGTGGGAATTGGGAAAGAAAGCATAGGGGTCTTCCTTTGTAGAATTCCTCTTAGCCAGAAGATTTTTTTTTTTTTGTGGTGGTGGCGAGTGTTGAAATTTTGGCAGAAAATTATCATAAGCATTGTCATCAAATAGAATAACATTAGGAATCGCTCATCCTGCCTTGGTGTAGTGGGGCTAGACTAGGACAGCAGTGTCTGATCTTTTTTCATCCAGCAGGCTGGAGGGGCAGTGGCTGGTTCCTCACAGGCCAGATCCTGCTGGTGGACCCAATTTGGTGCTTGGGACAGGTGCAGCAGGTCCCCATCCTGTCGCTGGGCTGGGGCAGGTGGCAACCCGGCCTGATCCAGTGGGGGGTGGGGGAGAGGGCATGTCCCAACCCAGTGGAAGGAAGGGGGCATAGCCTGGCTCCAGTCTAGCCAGATGGAAGGAAAGGGAGTGTCACCTAGCCTCATGGAGGGAAGGAGAATGGCGAGGCCCTGAACCAGCAGTGCAGGGGGAGGAAGCATGGCCCAGGCCCATGGGGTGGGAGGGCAGGGGAGGAAAAAGGAGCCTGAGGTGGTCCTGAGCAAGTTGTGCCAGGGGAGAGCAGGAGTGGCCCAGACTTGAAATGGCCCTGGCTGGGTGAGGGTCTTAGCTTGGCTCAAGCCACTGCACAGGGCTTGGGATTTTGGCAAGGGGGGGAGCAGTATTAACTGTCACTTCTCCCCACTGTCAAATTTCCTGACCTTTGGGGAGCCCTGTATGCTGGATTCCATGGCTCGTGGGGGCTGCATTTGGCCTACAGGTTGGAGGTTGAGCTCTCCTGGATTAGAAGACTGCTAAAATCCCTTCCAGACCTGTGATTCTTTGACTCCTGTTGGAGAAGAAAGGAGAATAGACAATGACTGCTTATTTCTTTTTTGCCAAAAGTCCAATACCCATGTAGTTACAAGGATGCTGATAGATCGCAGTAGCTGTGAGTTTGGGGCTAAAAAGAAGTTGATGTGCACAAGAGGAAGTGTAGTAACAATTTGATTTATTCATTGATTATGATTTATTTATATGATTTATTCATTGAAGTTCATTTGACTTGAATAAAAAGCACTGGCATTCCCTTGGATCTTCAGAACATGAACATTTCCAGCCAACTGTGACTGGAAATAGCTTGGTTGGAAACAGCTTCCCTTCTGCTGGGAAGGGATGAGCTAAGCTGAAGTCTTTTAATTGGCAGCAAGCTTTTTGTTTAGGGCAGTTCTACTGAGAGTTGTAGAGATGCTTCCCAGTTGCAGCTGATGCAGCTTCCTTAGTCTTGTGTATATTAATGTTTAGTAGGTGAGAATGTGAATCTGTGGCTGACAAATTCTGCTACATCGGAGCAGGCAAAGTCTGGCCTATAGGCCAGATTGGGCCTGCAGCAGATTCCATTTCCCAGCAGTCTCTGCCCACATCAGAACAGCAGGCAGGGGTTGCAGGCAGTGGATCGTGGCTGTGCCCTGGCTCCAGATCACTCTGTCATCACTGTAAGATCCCAGCCCTGGCCCCAGAGCAGCTCCCCGCGCAGCCGTGGGCCCTGCCAGCACTGCTGGGGTCATCTCCATGGAAACTCTGGCCCCACACTGTCATGGCCCCACTGCTGCTAGTTCTCTGTGGAAATTGGTGGCAGCGACGTGGGCAGGGGCTGCTGGGAAATGGAATCTGGAAAAGGGAATTCACCATTTTGCTCACCCCTGCGCTACATAAATGTGTTCATAAGCAGCAAGTGTGTTGCATCTGTTTCCGTTAGAGCAGATATTTACAATTTCTTCAGAAAAGGCACGGTATTCAGAAGACTGGCAACATATTTCTTGGGCTTATTTTTCAGTTTGGACCTAGAAAAAAGTATTTCAGTGATCAGCTTTTCCCAGGAAAGCAGTGACTTACTTCTCTCTATATATATTACTAAATCATGAAGAGAAACTGAGAAACAATTAATTTTTTTCAGAGGCTCCACTTATCATGTCATTTGTCTAACATGGGGAGCAAGAGCGAGCATCTTCCTATTATCCTTTTCTTCTTGTACCATGAAAATTGTTTCATTCTCTGTGAGTGCTCTTAAATGAATACCTGGTAGAAAAATAGATCTATTTAACTGAACACTTCTGTTCACTAAACTCATTGTGCATTTTACAAGAATGTAATGCAGCTGTGAATATTCTTGAATTTTCAAGTATATTTTATACTAATAAAAAAATGCCATTATTCCTGGTTTGACATTTAAATGGCAAAATTGTCTCTAATAGACTTCCTTGCAAGATACTCTTCTTGCAGAGCTGCCTGAATTGTTGGGGGTGTGAAATAGAACCCAAATGATGCAGGCTGTCTGTGCGTTGCCATTAGTTTTGGAGGTGATAGTAAATACAATGAGGATGGATGTGATATGATTTTAGAGCATGCTTCTGTTACAAGTATAAAATATGAATTCTTACAACATTAACTGCTGAGGACTAAGTTGGGTAGGATATAGTTAGGCTGACAAAATCTGAAGTTTCACTCCTATTTACGTTTTCAGCTGACAGTATTAGTTTTCTCATGTGTCAGCCTTGTGAAGATACCAATTTTTTTGGTAATGCCTTTGTGCTAAATATTAATGGCAATTACCAGAGGAAAGCATTTTATTTTAATAGGAATGTAAACAGAAGCACCTCTGAAATAGCACCATCATGGAACAAGAAGATCTGTAGGTTACTTTGTGGCTTTAAGAAGGTTAGAGAGCTTTGGCAAGTGGGCTCATTGAGACTAATGCCTGCAGGTTTTGTGCTCTAAGAGGGCTCTCTAAGGCTTTTATTGACCTAGGTCTATTTGTACTCCGATTAAACAGAAATTGAGGCTGGACAAGGTAGTCACTGGCTGGGGAAATAGTGCCATCTTAAAACTAATATTGACTTCAAATTAAAGCTGTAGAAGATGAACAGAACTGAGGGATGAGCTTTATTTCTTAGGTTCCTTGTGTAGATAACATTTCCCACATTACTATCAGAGTTTGAAATGGGTATCAAATTTGGTAACAGTGAATTAAAATAAATGCTTTACATGTTTGTTTTCCAACTAATATTGTGTTTAACAAATGAAGTTAAAATGACAGAGCTTTGAAAACATGACAGGTCTTTCCCCCTTTCCTCTAACATGAGCTGCAATCAGAGTTCAGTCTTTAGTAGGTTTGGTTCAAGGTACAGTTATTAACAGAAGGTTTGCTCTGATATCAAGGCATAAGAAAAGCAAATTTTTTATAGTAGAAAAACTGGAGGTCAACTTATTTGAATAGAAATCCATTGAAAAAATGTAACTAGAACTTGATAGTGGTACATATAGAAATAATGAATATAGACACTTCACCAAAAAACACCATTCTTCATATATACACAATGCAGCATTATTATACAGAGCAAACTGCCTTAGCTGTGACAAAAGTAAGGTTCTATTACAATTCTAACAAAAATATAGCTTATATACATTTCTCTGCACGTAAATTTTATGAATGTTTCTATTTGTTTACATAACTTGGTACAAAACATAGAAAAAAGGTTGGCACATTATGTAAGCTACCTGCAGGAAACTGCAATCATGGTCGGTTTTCTTCCACTGCTATTTTAGCCCATTTTCTTTTTACCTGGTTTGCTTCCTGATACAGCACAAGAGGGATAAATAACTTGTCCCAAGTCCTTTATTTCTGATAAGCAATGTATTATTACCTCCTTAACTGAAGTCACAGCTTCTAATCTACCTCATTACTGCAGCCTGGAGTGCACAGTGTTAAAAATCAGCAGTTTTCTTAGGATATATTAACCAAATATTCTGAGAATAGTTTAAAATCTGAACTCATGTTCTGCAAGTGATTAAAATGAGATGTATAAAAATATGCATTTGTGCTTTGGAAGCTTTAGCATAATTTCATATTTTAAAACTAATGAAAAAACTATGTTCAGTTTTTAACTTATTTACATCTTTTGAAATACTTCTTACATCATATAATAAAACAGTATTCTACGAGGAGGGCAAAAAGCATTATAAATTATAATGCTGCTGTAATGTATAACCTGGAAACTCTTAAAAAGCTGCAGGTCCTTACTGTAACGTACTACAATATATGGCCTTGTGTCATAAAATTTTTAGATTAATTTAAAATATTAGCAATCATGTGTACAAACAGCATTTTATTTAAAAGGATGTAGGATCAATCCCACATTGCAATGGCTTATGTAAAATTTGACACCACTTCTTATGGTAATCTCTCCAGGATAGCAGAGAAAAGTGTGAATGGCAGCAATAATATGGGCCAACCTAATCTCCCACATAACACATTTTAATTGGACTAGACTGATTTTATTACATCAAAATTTTGTATGGGAAAAGAGAAGTAGGTTGATAATGTGCTGCATGAGAGAGGTAATTTTATATTTAATCTGTTTAATAACAAACTGGGTAAAGTTCTAGGCATTCGTTAGAAAGCAGTCCTTTCTGAAATCAGCAGTATTTACCTATTTATCCTATTTCTGAGGTTTCATTTGCTCTACTTCACAGGTTCTTTTCAGTGCTAAAGTTCAAAGGAGTTTCTCTGAAATACTTCTGCAATTTATGCCAAATTGTGGGGATTTCACTTTTTTAGTCCTGTTTAACCTATTCTGATTTTCCTTGCAAACATTACGCTTCGGTATTAGAACCATTTGTACTCAGTATAGTTTTGTCAGTAACTAAAACTGTACTAGTTACATTTGACAAATGTGTATAAGGTTAGAAGTTAGCTTTAGAAGTACCTGTGCTGCCGCAAAAGGATAGTTCCAAAGGGTGTCTATTCAGCTTCCGAATAAGTACCTTTATGAAAACAATTTTTTGTAGACTTTAGAGTGATTTAGAAGTGGAGAATAAAATATTTTCTCCTTGCTGCAGTCCGTTCATTTTAAAGGAAACACCAACCCTTGTATCTAAGTTAGTAAATAATTCACAGTGAGACTGGTAGATCAGAAGGTCTGGTTTTCTTCCCGTCAGTTGTTGTTCTCTGATGGAAGCCTGAGACTCTTGCACTTCAGCTCATCTAACATTTTCCAGTGTTTGTAGTTATTAGCCAAGTGTTGCATTAAAACAGGTAGGTGTGCAAATGCTGAAATGGAAAGAAGGAACAACAGACTGTACAATACTGCAGTATGCTAAGGTGCTCAGAAGCTAGTAGAATCCTGCCAGAGCCCTAAGTTTACATTGGCTGCAATTAATTTGCCAGGGAGTTTGAGTGTAACCTTTTCTCCCCCTTTTGGAGTTATGCTACCCTTACAGAGCTTTATAGAGGATATGCTGTGCTGTCTTTATGTATGGAAAGCAACAGCTCAGTTAAGCAAGCCCTTTTCTTACAAACACTGTCTTCATCAGAGATTCTGGAAAATCTAACTTTTTATCTGCTCAGAAGAAATTTTCTGATATAGGAGGAATTTGGCAAACAAAAAAAAATTTTTACTCAAGCTAGTTCAAGAAAATGAACATGAACTTAAGAAAAAGGATATATAGTTGCTTATTCGAAAGAGAGAGTGTAAGTTTTGCATTAATTATACTAAAGTTAAGGGCTGGTTTTGTGAGGTTTAGAATCATAAAAAAAGTAGGGTTGGAAGGGACCACAGTAGGTCATCTAGGCCAGTGGTCTCCAACCTTTTAATCATGAAGATCACTTTTTTGTAAGTAAAGGGCACCCCAGGTTCTACCACCCTGTGCCCTGCCCCCCACCCCTCCTGCCTCCCAAACAAGCTGCCCAGGCTCTGACACCACTCACCCAGCCCAGCCTGGGCGGCAGGGGGCGTGGCTCAGCCCAGCCACGTACATCCTGCCGCTCCCGATCATGGAGCCTCTGACAGACTGAGATCAACTGTCAGAGGCTCCACAATTGACCAGTTGATTGAGATCGACAGGTTGGTGACCACTGATCTAGGCCAACCCTTGTGCAAGGCAGGATCCTCCCTGTCTAAACCATCCTAGAGAAGTGTTTGACTAAATTATTAAGAACTTCATGACCATAATACACTCAGAACTGCACACACAATTACTAAATCTGAGAAAACAGTCTATGCAGTAGTGTGACATAATGCATACTGGAATAAAGGGGAGTTTATAATGCATTTGTACCACAGGTAAAAGAAAAACATGGAACTTCTTACCATCCCAGGCATCAAACATGTCTGTTATAAAATAATCAATGAAAGATATCTGAGACTTTGGGATGCTGCAGGTGTTACGATCAAATACTGGCATTACAACAGGCAGACCTTGTCTTTTCTCTTCATCAGTCTACAAAAAACACCCCCCCCCCAAAAAAAAACTAGGATTAGCTTTTATAGCTTTCCCTTTGCCATCCTAGAGTGATGAGACAAATTTGTAAGTAGACAGTTCTGAAGTCAAACACCAGAATGCAAAAATTGTGACCAAGTACTTAATACTTTTTACATAAAGAGAAAAATAGTGCATTTTAAGTAAAAAAAAAAAAAAAAAAAAAAAA